CTTTCCTATCCAGTGAGAAATTTTTTTTTTTTTTTTTTTTTTTTTTTTTTTTTATGGTACTAGGGATAGAACCCAGGAGTGCTTAACCACAGAGCTACATTTCCACCCCCTTGAGACAGGTTGTTGATAAACTGCCCATGTTGGACAAGTTTGCAGTCCTGCCTTAACCTTCTTGAATGCTGGGATTACAAGCATATGTCACTATGCCCAGCTTTTTATTATGTGATTAAAAGGTTTTGCAGCAGCTATTTGTATGCTCAAAAGTTTTTCTTAGGGCTTTTGTTTTACTTTTAGTCTTTTGACTATTTGAACTTCTTGCCCTAAAAAAGGTCCCCACAATGTTCTTGACACGAACCCCAGGGCCAAGCTAATGGGGTCGCCAGTGCCTTGGGTGAACAAGGGGCAGGAAAGGGGACACGGTAGTCTGTTTTTTTTTGCAGAGTGTCACTCCACCCAGGAGGTACATGCTGCGGGAGCGAGAGGTGGCCCCAGAACCTGTGTCCCGGCTGAAGGTGAGGGGGTGTCAGGATCCAGGTGCCCTGCGCAGTTGTTTTTGCAAGGTTGCCACCTGCCAGTCTTTGGTGTCTCAATACCTGAGCTTGATCATGTGGCCCTTTGCACTTTTCAGGGAAATCTTCCTCCCAGAAATTGAAGTCCCCTCAGTGCAGCTCTGGGCTGTTTCCCTCCAGTACCACCCTTTGTGATCCTGGGTTGAGTGTGGTTGGCCTCTTCCAGGGCTGTGATTGGACCTGGTGTGCACCCCCTACCCCCCTTAATGTCTGCTTATGCTGTGCTCAGGAGGCCCCAGACCCCTGGCAGAGCCTGGACCCCTTCAACTCCCTGGACTCTAAGCCCTTCAAGAAAGGTAACTGGGTAGGGCTACCTCCACGCAGGTCCCCTGGCCAGGTTTGCTGGGGCACAAGAATATGGGATAGGGGTAAGCCCAACACCCCAATCCATGGCTGCCCTCGAGATGGCCTATCTGTCCCCAGGTAAGCCTTACTCTGTGCCCGCCTGTGTGGAGGAAATGCCAGGACAGAAGCGCAAGAGGAAAGGTGCTGCCAAGTTACAGGACTTCCACCAGTGGTACCTGGCTGCCTGTGAGTGGGATGTACCTCATCGGCCTGGGCTGAGGAAGAGGGTCACAGGCTTGTCTGGATGCTGGGAGCAGCCCCTGCCTGTGGGGGTCAGGGCCTTGGCTTGACTCCTGCTGACTGAGTTCTCTCACAGATGCTGACCATGCTGACAGCAGCAGGCCCCGGAGAAAGGGCCCCTCTTTTGCAGGTGAGGCCAGGATGTGTGTAGAAGTGCTCAGGGAGGAGTCTTTACTCTGCTCTCCTCATCCCACACCCTCTGCCCTGGGGTCACCCAAAGCCCTGGCTAGACTGGTGAAAGCTTGGGCGGGACAGGAACCCCTCATGAGGCTTTGTCTGCAGACATGGAAGTCCTGTACTGGAACCATGTGAATGAGCAGCTACAGACCCTCCGGAAACTGCAGAGGAGGCAGGCAAGTAGCCCTGCACCAGAGCCTGGGACCCCACAGGGCCCTGATTGGAGGTGACAGTGCCTTCACAGACCTCTCTCTGGACAGACAGCTGAGCAGTGGCTGCCCAGGGCTGAGGAGGGAATGTGGCCTGCAGAGGATGACCGCCTGGAGGAGTCCTTGGAGGACCTAGGGGCACCTGGTGGGTGCCTGCTGGGGATGGGATGGGGCTCAGGACCTCCTGCCAGCTGATGGGCCACCTCCTGTGTCCCAGCAGATGACTTTCTAGAGCCTGAGGACGACGTGGAGATTGAGGGAGCAAAGCCGGGGGAAGCCGCTGACCTGGGTAGGTCCAGCTGGCAGGTGGCCAGGGTGTGCTGAGGGGCGGGAGCTGTGGGAGGGGAGGTGGGATAGCCCACAGCTGCAGCAGCTCACGGTTGGCCCTTCCCAGATGCAGAGGCCATGCCAGAGTCCCTGAGGTATGAGGAGCTGGTTCGGAGGAATGTGGTAAGTTTGGGTGGGGTGGGCAGGGAGCTGGGTGAGGGCACCCTCGTCTCCGAGTCCAGGTGGAAGCCCCTGCTGGTCCTGCTGTAGGAGCTCTTCATTGCCACCTCCCAGAAGTTTGTCCAGGAGACAGAGCTGAGCCAGCGCATCAGAGACTGGGAGGACACCATCCAGCCTCTGCTGCAGGAGCAGGTGAGGGGTGGGTGTAACCTGGGAGCCGGAGCTACCTATCCAGGGTGGATCCAGGGCCTCTCCGCTCCTTACCACCAACATACCCCTCCCCTGTTCAGGAGCAGCACGAGCCCTTTGACATCCACACCTATGGGGACCAGGTGGTCTCACGATTTCCCCAGCTCAACGAGTGGTGTCCCTTTGCGGAACTAGTGGCCGGCCAGCCTGCCTTTGAGGTGTGTCGCTCCATGCTGGCCTCCCTGCAGCTGGTGAGTGACCTGTGACACACAGGTGGGGAAATGACCACTGGACCCCGCTGATGCCTTGTCCCTGCAGGCCAACGACTACACAGTGGAGATCAGTCAGCAGCCGGGGCTGGAGGCAGCTGTGGACACCATGTCCCTGAGACTGCTCACACACCAGCGAGCTCACAGGCGCTTCCAGACCTATGCGGCCCCATCGATGACCCAGCCCTGAATGGGGAGCTGGGGTGCAGTGTAGGAGAGAAGCCTGTCCCAGGAGCCCGGGGGCTGCTTGCACCACCACTAACTCCTGGCTGGCCCTGCAAAATAAAGTGGAGTCATCATTCCACCTACCCCTTACAAGAAAACTTAAAAAATGCCTGCTGGTACAGAGCTTGTGTGGGCGCGCGCACGCACACACACACACACACACACACCCCCTACAGATTCAGTACACAAGTATTTCCTGTTTAATGACAGGGCCCAGACTGCCCTGTTCAGGACAGGACACTTTGGAAGGCAGCCATGTGCTGCTTCACACTGTTTGCAATCTGCTCGGCTGACCTTCCCCGACCATAGTAGTCAGTGAAGAGGCCGTCAGGATTGAGCAAATAGATGGCAATGGAGTGGTCGACAATGTAGTCCTGGTCCTCGTCCTTAGGGCCAGCACTGTAGTACACCCGGTAGCTATGGCTGACCTGGGCCACCTGCTCGGCAGAACCCGTCAGGCCCAGTAGCCTCGGGTGGAAGTCCTGCACATATCGGGCCATGGCTGCTATGTCATCCCGTGCGGGATCGACAGTTACAAAGATGGGCTGCACAGGGTGCAGGCCAGGCTGTGCTTCTAGCTGTTGTACCACCTGCACCAGCTTCTCCAGCTCATCAGGGCAGATGTCGGGGCAATGGGTAAAGCCAAAGTACATCAGCACCCACTGACCCCGGAAATCAGCCTTGCAGCGGGCCTGGCCGTGATGGTCCAGCAAACTGAAGTCACCCTGGGCCACAGCAGCCTGGCGCAAGGCCTCTGTCCGACGTCGTTGTTGATGCCATTCCTTCTCAGCCCTGGCAGCTAGCCAGGCTCCACCCAGACCTGCCCCAAATAGGGCAGTGATCAGGAGCCTTGTTCGAAGCCCAGGGCCTAAGGGCCGGCCCTGCCCACCAGTTTCTGTAGGGCCCTGTCCTGATGAGTACTGGGCCCTCTCACACAGGGCTCCATCTCCCAGGGTCCTAGGGAGGTTTGGGGGCTTGAGCAGATAGAGCCTGGGCCAAGCCTTGGGCCCTCGAACCAGCAGGGACATGGATGGATCTGATGCACCTGTAAAAGAACAAAGGTGTCAAGAGCTGGAAAAGGGGACTGAAAAGGTAATTGGGCCCCCTGGTCTCTGGAGAGAACTGCTACTCCACACTCAGGATCTGCCAGTTCCCCTAAGCCACAGCTCCACTTCTGAAGCTGCAAGCTTCTGCTTGGGTAGCACCAAATTTCTGCACCTGCAACACCATACTCGTCACTCCTGTCCTTAACATGGGGATCCCAGGCGGGCTTGCCTCACCCTGCCCCACCTGTGCCTGCTAACTGCTCATGTTCCTGATAGCAATGTACAGGGCCAGGGATTTAGCTCAGTGGTGCTGCTGGCTGCCTCACAGCAAGCGCAAGGTACTGAGTTCGATCCCTGGTATGTATGTGTGTGTGTGTGTGTGTGTGTGT